TGTGTGTGTGTGTGTGTGTGTGTGTGTGCGTGCCCAAGATCCCGAGAGGAGAATGGAGGAGAAGGGATTGTGGCGTGGCCATCCCCCCTGGGGGGTAATTTCTCGCTTTCTGTCTCTCTGTCTTTCTGGTGAGCGCACGTGCCCTATTGCAAAACAAACAAAGAAAGAAAGAAGGAAGAGAGAAAGAAAGAAAAAGGAAATAAATTTTTAAAAATCTAAAAAATGAATGAAGGAAGGACGGGGTGCTGGCCCTCCTTGCTTCTGGCCGGACCACCTCTCTTCCCCGATCTTGCTCGCCCCTCGTTTAGCCTGAGATGCTCGGGTGACCCTTCAGAGAACTCTTACTCATCCATCAAAGCCCAGAAGCTCTCCCCGATACCTGGTTTGAGGGGCCTTTCTCTGGGGAGCCCCGTTACTGAGCCCCTGGTCTGCACCTGCTGCTCCCACAGGGAGTGGCCTGACCCCTGTCTGTGACTCCAGTCACCCAGCGCCTTGAAAAGGGACCAAATGAACTAAAAACCAACGTGCAGATCACGGCCAGCTGCCGACAAAGGAGACGACAGACCCTCCTGGTCTCGAGGAGTGACCAGAACTGGCCAGCCCCTCAGGGACCGCTCCTCCCACTTCCCGTCTGCCCACCACCAGGGCGAGCGCTCCGGCCTTCCCCAGTCGGGCACCCTCACCATTATTTCCGTGATGTCTGGGTCATCTGGAGCCCAGGGTGGGGTGGCGGCGGCAGGGGGCCCGGGCAGCGCGAGTGGGCCACTGTCTTCTGTGGTCGAGTCTGTCCCTGAGGAGTCAGTGGGCTCCATGGCGGCCAGGTTGAGCAGTGACACATTGGTGCAGGCTGATGACCTTTTGAGGTTCAGGCACCAGTGCATTGGCTCGTGGGACATCCGGGGCTCCACCCTGGTGAGGAGATACGAGTAGAACGCTCAGGCTGCAGCCCCCGGGGGTTCTGGCCTCCTGCCCCCCTGTCCCACACCCCTACTCCCGCCACGCCTGCCGCCCGGCCTGCTTTGTCATCTTCTCCCCTCTGTCCTCTCCGCCTGCCTTCCTTGCCAGGGGGTGCAGTGCGTGCTGGAGAGGGGCGTGTTTCCATCCCTCCCCCTTTTCTCCATCCTGTCGGGTTTTTCGAGCTGCTGGGAGCTGCTGGTGGAGGACTCAGACCACAGGGTTGGCCGTGTGGGATCCAGTTCACTACCCACCAGGCCATGGCCCGGCCAGCTTTCTCCTCTGGGTACATAATCTGCTAGCGGGCGCATGCGCTCACAGAGACGGGGAGAGAAAATGAGGAAGCACCCCCAGGGGGATGGCTGAACGGCCACCCCTTCTCCTCCACTCTCCTCTCCCAGGCTGCGGCACGCACGCACACGAGCCTGGTGTGTTTTTCAGGGTTTAGGTCCCTGACCTGAACAAGCAGTCGGCCATGTGAGACCCAGCTGCCCTAACCGCCATGCCCTCTTCCTTCTTATTCAGTTCCTGCAGTCGACTTTCTCCCCTGTCCCCGCTGCCTGCTTTCGCCTTCCTTCACTGTTCCCAGCCTCCCTCCCGGCCTTCCTTCCCCACGGCCTTCCTCCTCTCTCCTGCCCGTCCCCCTTGCCCTGCCCTCCTGCCTGTCTGTCCCCCACTTCTCCCCCTTCCTCCAGCACCCACAGCAGGGCTCAGGTTCTGTCTGAGGCAGTGCTGGGTGCCAAGACTGTCCCTGACAGGGTGCGCAAACCCACCCGTGGAATGAGACGGCCTTCTTTTTCTTTGTGATCCCCTTGGCTGGGCTGGTGCCCCCCCCGGGAGCCTCCGGGACCAGCTGGGAGCGGCTCTCGATTCCTGCAGGGGGATCCCCGGCCTCATGGATCTCCTTGGATTGCCAGATCGTCTTCACCACCACGCTCGCCATGGTGTGTGTGGGTCCTGCTCCCAGGGGCTCCGTCCTCTGAGACTCCTCTGCCCACTGACCTCAGAGGCCCCTGACCTCTGCAGCTTGCCTCACAAAGGGCCCAACCACTGGCCTCGTGGGGTGGGGGGGCTCTGGGAAGGTAGAGGGACCAGCTCAGGCCACTCCTGGGGTCCCAGTGGACTCTTCCTGTCCAGCGTCTAGTCCCGCCACTAAGGCTGCCCCTCTCCTCAGAACCACAGTGGGCTTGGTCGTCCTAGGCCAGCCCAGACTGGAATGGGCCGGCCCGCTGGTTCTGGGGAGGCGCCCAGCTTCCCTCTCCCTACACTAACCGTGGGGCCGCCCAGCCCTGTGTCCTCCCTGGACTTGACACTTGCCTGGGATCCGGAAGACAGTGAGGGAGGGTTGAGTCCCAGGCCCTGCCCCGGGAGATCTCACATTCTCTGGGGTTGGGATGGCATGGGGGAGGCAGGCAGTAGGTGGGCAGATAAACAGAGCAATAGCAGAAGCTGGTGGGTAACATGGGATCAGCAGATGGCAAAATGGCTATGTCACTGGACTCCCGTGTAGTCGGCCACGGGTTGAGTCCTGAACCTGGCAGTTTAAAACTCACGCCGGGTGCGTGTGCGTGCGTGCCCAAGATCCCGAGAGGAGGATGGAGGAGCAGGGATTGTAGTGTGGCCATCCTCCCTGGGGGGTGATTTCTCACTTTCTGTTTCCCTGTTTTTCTCTGTCTCTCTGGCAAATTCCCTTCCCTATAGCAAAAATCTGTATTAAGAAACAAAAAGTTGGTAAGTGACACCATGGGAGTCGAAGTTGGTGCCTGCATTTGTCAAAATGTGTTGATCTGTGCACTTGGCTTTGAGATTTTACTGTGCCAGCCTTTTTTTTTTTTTTTTTTTTTTTTTTTTTTTTTTTAGGTTGTAACACCCCTTTGGGGGTTTTATTTTTTTTGCTATAGGATGTATACTCTCATTGGAGAGAAAAAGAGATAGAAAAACAGAGGGAAAATGAGAACTCGTCCCCCAGAGGCGAGGGCCACACCACAGTCCTCCATTTGGGGCATACATGCACACTCACCCTTCATGATTTTTGAGCTTTAAAACATTTTTAAGAATGATTTAATTCGGTTTCATTTAATATTATCTACTTGATGGGAGAGAGGGAAAGTGAAAAAGCAAGCTGCCAGGTTTGGGACTCGAACTGTAGTTGGCCATGTGGGAGTCCAATGCCTCAACCGCCATGCCACCTGCCATCCCCCTTCATGATTTTCAAGCCGCCAGGTCTGGAGCTTGAACCATGTTGTCACCCATATAGGACCCAGCTACCTTAACTGCTACCCCACCTGCTGGCCCCTATTGCGTGAATCTTATCTCCTTTTTTTTTTTTTTAGAACAATTTTATTACATTTTATTAATTTTATTTATTTATTTAAATTTGACCAGTGAAGGACAGAGAGAGGGAAAGTGAGAAAGCAAACCACCAGGTCCAGAACTCGAACTGCAGTCGGCCATGTCCACCGCTCTTAACCACCATGCCACCTGCTGGCCCTGAATCTTACCTCTGAAAAATTCATCTAGGGGCCGCATGGTGGCGTAGCAGTGAGAGGACCACATAGGAGGGCCCCCATGTGCCTCGCAGGCCTCCCGCTATGTGCTGGGCGTGTACCTGTGAAACGGACTGGCTGAAAAGGGGGTGGATCATGGCACGGGGACCCTTTCACAGATGGCTGCCTCTCTCCTTGTCTCTCTCATGTGAGAAACAAAGAAAGAAAACTTGAAAAGAGCTTGCCCATAGCACATCAGTTAAGCACTGTGAGCAAGGCACTGGATCCCACAGGCCGACCATGGTTTGAGTCCCAGCTCTGGCAGTTTGCAAAACACGCCAGCGCGTGCATGCGCGTGCCCCAAATCTGATGAGAGGAGAAATGCAGGAAAAAGGATTGCGGTGTGACCATGCCCCACAGTGGGTGCTTTCTCTCTTTCTCTGGTGAGTGCAAACATCCTCTGCAATTAAACAAAAAGAAAAACTGGGGCTGGCAGGTGGTGTGGTGGTTAAGAGCACTGGATTCCCACATTGCTGACTGTGGTTTGAGCCCTGGACCTGGCAGCTTGCTTTCTCGCTTTCCCTCTCTCTCTCCCCCTCTGGTCAAATTAAAATAAATAAAATAAATAAAGTTCAGTAAAATAATTATTAATAAAGACAACTTAAAAAGGGACCAGCAGGTGGTATAATAGTTAAGGTACTGGACTCCCACATGGTCGACCACAGTTTGAGTCCTGGACCCAGGGGCCTGAAATTCACAAGAGGGAGACCAGCAGGTGGCGTGGTGGTTAAGGTGCTGGACACTCCCACATGGTCAACCATGGTTCAAGTCCTGGACCTGGTGACTTGCTTTCTCACTTTCCCTCTTTCTCGCTGTGTGTCTCTCTAGTCAAACTAAAAACAAACAAATGAATACATTTAAATAAATAAATAAATTTTTTAAAAAAGAAAATCACGAGAGGTGTGTGTGCGTGCCCAAAATCTGAGAGGAAAATGGAGGACAAGGGATGAGGCACGGCCATTCACCTTGGGAGTGATTTCTCACTTTCCCTCCCACTATCTCTCTCATGCACCCTATGACAAAAACCTTAAAAAAAAAAAAAGTGAACATCAACCTAGCTAATGATATGCATGTTGACATAGTGGAGGTGTCTTTGCTAGGGCTGTCATAAAAGGGACCACAGATCGCGTGGCTTAAACAGCAGACGTGTGTTGACCCCGTTCTGGAAGCCAGAAGTCCGAGACCACCGTGCTAGAGGGTTGATCCTTCCTGCAGCTATGAGGGGAGGGCCTGCTCCAGGCCTCTCCGTGGCCCCTCAGCCTCCAGTGGTCTCAGGTGTTCCTTGGTTACAGATGGCCGTACCTTCGCCCTGTCACATGGCCTCTTCCCTCTGTACCCATCTTTCACTGTCTCATGGTTGTTTTGACATTCTGAATGTTTGGAAATGTTCATAATAAAACATTAAGGAAGAAAAGAAGCCATGGGAGGCCGGTCCATGGCTTGGTGGTTGAGGGTGCCAGATCTCACATGGCTGACTGTGGTTCGAATACTGGACCCAGTGGCTTGCAGCAACGGAGACAGTAGCTGGCGGTGTGATGGTTACAGTGGCTGGGTCTCACATGGCTGATTATGTTTCAAGTCCCAGACCTGGTGGCTTGAAAATCAGGCAGGCGTGCATGCTTGCATGCTCAAAATCCCAAGAGGGAAATGGAGGAGAAAGGATTGTGGTGTGGCCATCCCCTCTGGGGAATCATTTTTCACTTTCTCTCTCACTGTCTCTGTCTCTCTCCAGTGAATGTGCATGACCTATGGCAAACCTAAAAGAAATAAAAAAGAAAAACATGCTGGGTGCATGTGCATGCGTGCCCGAAATCCCAAGAGGACAAGGGAGAAGGGATTGTGGCATGGCCATCCCTCCAGTGGCTGCTTTCTCAGTTTCTTTCTACAGTGAGTGCATGTGCCTCACAGCAACATTATAAAAAAGAAAAAGAAAAAAAGAGTGCCCAGCAAGTGGTGGTTAAGGCACTGGACATCCACGCGGCTAACTGCTGTTTGAAATCTCAGCAGGCATGTGTGTGCGCGTGCCCAAAACCCTGAAAGGAGAACGGAGGGGAAGGAATTGCAGCATGGCTATCCTCCTGGGTGGTGCTTTCTCTCTGTCTCAGCTTTTTCTGGTGAGCATGTGTGTCCTATGGCAAAACTTAAAAAAGCCTGGGCTAGCAGATGACATGGCGGGTATGTCATCCTCCTACATAGTCAACCACGGTTTGAGTCCTGGCCCCGGTGGTTTGAGTCACACCGGGTACGTGTGTGAGTGCCCATGATCCTGAGAGGAGAATGGAGAAGGGACTGTAGCATGGCCATGCCCCTGGGCGGGTGATTTCTCACCTTCCCTCTCATTGTCTCTGTCTCTCTCTTTCTCCAGTGAGTGCATGCAGCCTAGGCCAAAAACCCACCCCAAAAACAAAAAACAAAACAAAACACAAACAAACAAAACTCTAAGAAAAACCAGTCTGGCAAAGGGGTGGGTACAGGTTGGTTCCCATGGCGGAAGCGCAGTGTGTGAGAAGGACGGAGCTGGAGAGAGGGGACATGGATCGCACAGGCGGAGAAACCTGGACAGAAACTTTTTCTTTTTTTTGGAGAGGTTTTTGCTATAGGGCGCGTGCGCTCGCCAGACAGACAGAGACATAGAGACAGAAAGTGAGAAATCACCCCCCAATGCGGGATGGTCACGCCGCAATCCCTTCTCCTCCATTCTCCTCTCAGGATCTTGGGCATGCACACACATGCACCTGGCGTGAGATTTAAGCCACCGGGTCCGGGACGCAAACCGTGGTCGACTACGTGGGAATCCAGTGACAGCCATTACGCTAACTGCGGGTTCCTAATTTTCTGCTAACTTGTGGGCTCTGAGGCACTTACCCTTGACAGGATCTAGCATCAGGGGTTCCTCCCCCCCAAGCGAAGTCTCCAGTTAACTCCATGTGTTCCAAGTGGGATCTGGGTGAATGGTGGAAAGTGGTTGGAGAGAGGGGAGTTGGAGGATTAGGGCAGGGAAGACAGACTTCTATTTTCGGGACCCTCTGGGGTCTCTCTTTCTTTTTTTCTTTTCTTTTCTTTTTTTTTTTTTTTTGAGATGTTTTTGCCATAGGAATGCACATGTGCTTGCCTGGAAACACAGAGAGAGACAGAGAGATAGAAAGCGAGAAGTCATCTGGGGGGTGGGGATAGCTAGCAATGCCACAATCCCTTCTCCTCCGTTCTCCTCTCTGGATCTTGGGCACGCACAAAACACGTGCCCAGCGTGAGTTTAAGCCACCGGGTCTGGGACTTGAACCATGGTCCACTACATGGGAGTCCAGTGACATAACCATTACACCCTCTGGTCTCCTCAACAAAATAATTCTTATAATTATTTTTTTTATTTTTTAAGAGGTTTTTGCTATAGGATGCGTGCGCTCGCCAGCCAGCCAGCCAGAGACAGAAGGCGAGAAATCACTCCCCAGGGAGGATGGTCACGCTGCAAT